TTTACTTCGAATGGGCCTAGTTCTTCGTACGATCGAAAAGTGTCAACAATATTTCCGCAACCACTCAGCATTGCTTGTAATACCATGATCCACATCCATTCCATCCACTACACGTTACCATTCCAAAAATTGATTCCTTTTGGCACTTAGTGTAACAATCTGAATTCCGTTGCTATTTTCTTTCACTAATTACCCTTCTCGTAACATCAATTTTGTTAAATAAATTAACCATCTCTCTGAAGTGTAACAATTTGATCTATCTAGACTACAACCGACGGCTCCTACAACTTGATCTAGCTAGTCACAACCTCCATAAATCGCCAGCATCTGCCTACAGCTAGCACCACCAACTATTCAATCACTTGGTCCCTACAACAATTACTCTAGATCTGAAATTATGGCAAGATAAGACTCAATCAATTGAATTCCATAAAAGGAAAAGGAAAAGAAAGAAGGGATGCTTCAGTTCCTCTCTTCAAATAAAGCAGCAGTAGGAATAAATCCCCCTCCCCATCCGTCCTTTTTCACTGGCGTACGTCGCCACCACCCCACTTTCTCCGCGACGAACCAGGGGCGGAGCTACAGCAGCCTTTGGGGAGGCCCCGGCCCCCCGAGAATTTTGAAAGTCACGTGTAAAAGTTCGGTATTAGACGTATAAACTAAATGTTATGTATAAAACTAACCAACGTGAAAGAAAACAATAAAAGTCTATGTAGTCTAGTGGAATCGCCCCTTGCCCTCTCAACTAGTGGTCAAGGTTTTTATCACTAGCTTTTTTGGTAATAGTTTATGTTTTGATTCCTACATAGTCAATTTAATCTATGATTTTCATAATAGTTTATTTGTCATTCAAACTATTTTCAAAATTTCAAGGATAGTTTGAAATATGATGAATATTTTTAGTTATATGGCCTTTAAGTTTTTATTTAACTAATTTTTTTTATAAAATGCTTAAAGTTTCATAGTTGGTTTGTTAATGATTTAATTTTAAACTAGATTTAAGTTTTTATTTAACTAAAAAATTGATCAATGCTTGAACTTTCATATTTCGTTTGTTAATTATTTAACTTTAAATTAGATTGATTAAATTCTTCAATTTTAAGGTTATTTTTGAATATATAATGAATAAATTTGGTAGAATATTAATATTGGTAGACATTCGCCTTTAGTTACTAAAATCGTTTATGCCACAAAATATTGAAATGAGTTAGTAACTTGTATATAGTTTTCTGATTTATTCCAAATTTAATATAAATTTTTTGTGCGCTTTGAATAAAATAAAATGAGTTTTTGTTTAATAGAATTTTAGCTATTTACGGTAAAGTATCAAGAGAACTCCGCCCCCCCCCCCCCCCCCCCCCCCCCCCCGAAAGCTAAATCCTAGCTCCGCCCCTGCGACGAACGACCTCATCATCACTTCCTGCCCTACAGCACCAGCCTCCCGCCCGACTCCTTTTCTTCTCGCACAAAGACCCGGCCGGTGGAGAAAAGAAGCTCTCCGGGAGTTTTCCTCGACCAAAGGCGAGCAGCATCGGCCACTCGACCGAGAACGCCATCGGGAATTCCCTGTTCGCGTCGATTCCACCAAAACCCACGATCAGGCACTCATCTTTGCACTGCCGTGGGTAAGGCTCTCGATCCCAGTCGAACTCCGAGCTTAGTTTAAACAGCAAATAACCCAACTCATGTATGTATGCTCATAGTTTGACGATAACATCGCGAGGGACTTGAACGGAGTTCGACAAAGGGGAAACGACGTTCCAACCCAACAAATCTAGCTTTAGGCTCGTTCTGGAGGTAAGGAGTTCGACCTCATCGATTAAAGCCGAGTTATGGTTTGATCTATACGTATATACGTTGTTGTCTTTTTTTAGCGACGAATATTGCAGTCTTTTAGTGACAAAATAGGTTCTGTCGCTAAACACTGTTGAGCAATTTTCCAGACCAGTCCCTCAAGTGTTCAGCATAAACAGCTTAGTCCCTCAGAGTTTTGAGTTTTGACAAATTGACCCGAAAATTGTATTTTTTTTACAATGATGTTTAGTTCTGATGCTTTCCATATGTATTTACATGATTTAATAATTTTATAAATTTTTGAAAATTCGTATGATACTTGTATATTAATTTTATAATTTTTGGATCTGTATTTGTATTTATAAAAAATGAACGAATGTTAGGTTTAATTAAATAAAATACTGTTCGAAGTTTATTTTGGGATTTGATAATTTTTCATGAAACTAAGGTTTTGTATTGATGTTATAAAATTATGGATCAGAATTATTAGTGTTCGTGACTGGGTTTAAAAAATTATATATGCTAAATTGTAATAGGAAAATGATGTTATTTAAAGGGTCATTTATGGTTACTAAGTTTGTGTAATGAGTTGAAATACCTAAGGTCAGAATTTAGATTTTTTAAGTGGAAAATATACTTTGAGAAACTTATGAGGATTTTATTATATTTATTTTAAGAGTTATTCTTGATTAAAGGTTGAAAAGTTTAGTTTTGAGGAAATGATTTAAAAGAGATTGAGGGTCATTTTTAAAGGATTTTGGGACTAAGTAACCAATGAGGGAAATTTTCCCAATACGTTAAAGGGACTAAATCTGAGGATTACCGACTAAGGGAAGATTATTTCAGTTTATAGGATTGAGGAAGCGATCGGATTAAGGATTTCACATCCAGGGAACTAAGAATCGTCATTTGAGAGGTGAGTTGTTTAAGGGGGTAAATTCTACGCCTTACGTATTTTCAAGTAGTTGAATTACGAGTTTTAAGTATGTGTGTTTATGTGAATCGTATGCCAGTGATTGATTTTTGTCGTGATTGATAAAGCATGTTTTATTTGAGGTATTATCCGAGATGCTCTATTTGAGTATGATTGTGAAGTATATGATTAGTTGAGCTTTCAGTATTTACTTGAAGCTTTTATATTTATGTTTATTTAATGAAGGTTGTTTGATCTTTAAGGATCAATATTTAAGAAGTATTTCACTACTAATTAAATTAGGGTGAAAAGATTTAAAGATAGTTCACTAACGACAGTCCCCCGCCCCAGTGAAAGTTTAAAGGAAGAGCAAGTTTGCTCTTAAAGAACATGTGGATGAATCACTTAGACATCACATGAAGTTTAAAGGAAGAGTATGATATACTCTTAAGGTTTATGGGGTTGAATAGATTACTCCCATAAAAAGGTTTAAGGAAAGGCCTATGTTGGCCCTCATACGTATGAGCTGGGCGGTTGGACTAGTTAGTGAGGGGATCCCAGTGTCGGTCAAAGGTTTAATATTTTTGAGGGTGGCGAGTAACAACAACTCCCACGTTTTTAAGGGTTTAAAATTTAAAGGGTGGAAGTATGAACAACTTCCACAAGTTTTGAGGTGAACACTTAAGGGAACACCCGTAAGTGATTCAAGTTTAAGTAATGGCGTAGACTGACCCCAACCCACTCACCAGGTCGTAGAGGAGGATCTAGGGAGCATCCAGTCGAGGAGCATCCAGTGAGAGAGCAGGCTACCCGAGGAGGACCACATGAGCACTTCTGAAGATGTCTGACCACGGATCGGAGTAAGCAACATTTGTAATCTTTAGTTATTTGCTTTATGATTATGAGTAATGACTGGAGATTTAAAAGGATAAGACTTTATGGATTGAGGTTTGCCCAAATGTTAGGGCTTTGCTTTTAAATTATAAGGTGTATTTTCAGTATTGATATTTCGAGCACATTATCGTTTCTTTCTTTCAAAATTTTAAATATGCTCCGGAGCAAAATTGTTATTTAAGGATTTTAGAGATCGGGACGTGACATTTTGGTATCAGAGCCGGTGTTCTTCTGTTCCTTGGTCTCCAAGGAATACTGGAATATCGGTCGTAGTTTTAAAGGCTTATGTTTTAAAGGAAAAGAAAAACGTGTTTTAAGTTTTGGCCAAACGAGTCAAGGATTTCTTTTAAGGATTTATAAAATCTCCAGTCTACTCTAATCGTATTGGGAAAAATAGCTCGATTACTAAAAGGGCCTTACTTATATGCAGAGCTAGTAATGCCCACGTCAACCTTCCACCACAGCCGCAACCTAGGCGTCCACCAGATTATGATACGTTCCGGAAGAGGAAGGTAGAGGATTTCTATGGGGATCGATCGACGGATCCCATGGAGATCGATTTGTGGCTGTCAAAAGTCACTCGCACTTTACAGGAGATGCAAGCAGATGACGAGGACAAAGTGTTGCTGACAGTGTCCCTACTGCAGGGTGCTGCTTACAACTGGTGGGCTACACTGCCAGCCAGTCGAGAGGATCCACCAGCCATCACTTGGCCAGGGTTCGTGCAACTGTTCAAAGACCACTACATACCAATGTCCTATCGGACCGAGCAGCAGAGGGAATTCCTTATGATCAGGCAAAGTGGGGAAGTGAAAAAAGAGAAACAGTGGCGGAGTACACATCCCGGTTTGATAAACTGCTCCCTTATGGGGGGCCACAGTTCCAGGATGCTGGGATTCAACGCAGTCACTACCTAGAGATCCTGAAGCCTACCCTTAGGAGGGACCTGAGTGCACATGTATGGAACAGTAGAGAGGAGATTTATCAGGCAGCCCTCCGAGTGGAGAGGGTAGAACAGAGCTTGTATGAAGAAAGGGTACAACGAGATGGTCATAAGAGAAAGGCTATGAGCTTCACAGAGGGACCGAGCCAGATGAGTCAGACGAGGAGGAGGCCGACTGGTCCACCCAGTTATGGAGGCACTCAAAGTCGGGCTGGTTCGACTAAGCCGGGTCCGACCTACAGTAACAGGGGTCCTTGCAACCAGTGTGGGAAGATTCATCCGGGAGAATGCAAGCTTCACTTAGGGGTCTGTTTCCACTGCAACGAGCCAGGCCATTTTGCCAGAGAATGCCCTAAGAAAGGAGGGCAAGGGAGGACTCAGTCTGAACAGTCTGTTCGTGGTGGAGGAGGCAAAACTCACACCGGGTACCAGTTTGGCAATCAACAAAATCGATCTTTCAACAACAATGGAGGAAATGCTGGGTGGTCCATCCGTAATGATAGGGGCCAGGGGTCTCAAGCAGCTGGGCAACCAAGGATCTTCGCCATGAGGAGAGAAGAGGCTGATGCTGCACCTGAAGTGGTGACGGGTATGATTACTCTTTACCGACATTCAGCTTTTGTGCTCATCGATTCTGGTTCTACGCATTCATTTATCTCTACAAAGTTTGCTAGAAACTTAAGAATACCATCAGTGAAGTTGGGTCAGAACTTAGGGGTGAGAACCCCAGTAGGGGATACATTGATAGTCGATTCCGTCATTAGGAATTGCACTATCACAGTGGCTGGTTACGAGTTCGAAGCAAATCTAATCATACTACCGTTTGACGAGTTTGACGTCATACTGGGTATGGATTGGCTGTCCAAAAACCGAGCAAGGGTGGATTGTTACAAGAAGGAGGTTAGCCTTGAAATTGAGGGCAAGGGCACGGCGTTATTCAAGGGTACCAGAAAGCTGATTCCAGGAGGCTTAATCTCTGCGATGAAGGCCTTCTCGTTGATCCAAAAAGGATGTGAAGCCTACTTGGCCCATATCAAGGAGGTGCAAGAGAAGAAGAGAGAAGATGTGCCTATTGTGAGAGAATACCCCGAGGTATTCCCCGAAGATCTTCCGGGGTTACCGCCGCAACGGGAGGTGGAGTTTGATATTGAAGTGGTTCCTGGTACAGCACCAATATCCATTCCTCCATACCGCATGGCACCAGTGGAGTTGAAGGAGCTGAAGGAACAGTTAGAAGAGCTATTGGAGAAGGGTTTCATCCGCCCTAGCGTATCACCGTGGGGAGCACCAGTGTTGTTCGTGAAGAAGAAGGATGGCAGTATGAGACTGTGCATCGACTATAGAAAGTTGAACAAGGCAACCATCAAGAATCGTTATCCTCTGCCAAGGATAGACGATCTCTTCGACCAGCTACAAGGAGCAAAAGTGTTCTCAAAAATTGATCTGAGGTCTGGATACCATCAATTGAGAGTAGAAGATGGCTCCATACCTAAGACGGCATTTTGCACACGATATGGCCACTACGAGTTTTTGGTCATGCCGTTCGGTTTGACTAATGCACCGGCAGCTTTCATGGCCTTGATGAACCGAGTTCTTCATGAATATCTAGATAAGTTTGTCATCGTATTCATTGATGACATTCTCATCTACTCTAAGAGCGAGAAAGATCATGAAGAGCACTTAAGGGTGGTATTACAGAAACTGAAGGAGGAAGAGTTGTATGCCAAGTTCTCTAAATGCGATTTCTGGCTAGACGAAGTCCTATTTTTGGGACATATGATCTCTGGTCGTGGAGTTGAAGTGGATCCTAAGAAGATTGAAGCTGTGACAAATTGGATTCCACCAAAGAACGTTTCCGAAGTACGGAGTTTTTTGGGTTTAGCTGGGTATTACCGGAGATTTGTAGAAGGCTTCTCCAGTATTGCGAGACCCATGACTCAATTGTTGCAGAAGGGCTGCATTTGTATGGGACGAGAAGTGTCAAGCTGCATTCGAGTTGCTGAAGAAGAAGTTGACGTCTGCACCAGTGTTGGCACTACCAACCAACGGGGGGGGGGGGGGAGTATTCCATCTATAGCGATGCTTCTTATCAAGGGTTGGGTTGCGTGCTGATGCAAGATAAAAAGGTGATCGCCTATGCTTCGAGGCAACTACGACCCCAAGAGGTGAACTACCCCACCCATGACTTAAAGTTGGCAGCAGTGGTCTTCGCTTTGAAGCTATGGAGACACTATCTCTACGGGGAGACTTTTACCATCTTTACTGATCACAAAAGTCTCCAACACTTAACTGATCAGAAGGAGTTGAACATGAGACAGAGGAGGTGGATGGAGCTGTTAAGCGATTACGATTGTACTATTAAGTACCATCCAGGAAAGGCAAATGTGGTAGCTGATGCATTGAGTAGGAAGAGAGAGAGTCCTTTACCCGAATTGGTCTCTTTGAGGGCCATGAACGTGGAATTGGAATTAGAAGAAGTGACAAAGCTGTTAGCAACCTTGAAGGTTCGCCCTATGTTACAGGAACGTATCAAGGAGAAACAGAGTGAAGATACAGAATTGGGGAAGTATAAGAAACGGGTGTTAGAAGGGGAGGACACCAAATTTGAATTGGTACATGGTGTACTGATGTATCAAGGAAGATTGTGTGTGCCGGATGTCGACAAGTTGAGAAAGGACATTCTAGACGAGGCTCACACTGCACCGTATGCAATGCACCCTGGTGCCACAAAAATGTATCGTACCCTCAAGGAGCATTTTTGGTGGCCAGGATTGAAGAAGGATGTAGCAGCACATGTTTACCAGTGCTTGGAATGTCAAATGATTAAGGCCGAGCATCAAGCCCCAGTCATTGAACACCTACCGCTGGAGATTCCACAATGGACTTGGGAAAAGATCACTATGGACTTTGTGTATGGCTTGCCGAGGACCCCGAAGGGGAATGACGGGGTATGGGTAATTGTGGACCGATTCTCAAAGGTGGCTCATTTTATACCAATCAAGTTCAAGCCATGGCTGGAAGAACTGGCTAGATTGTATGTGAGAGAGATAGTAAGGCTACATGGAGTTCCACTTAGCATCGTGTCTGATCGCGATCCTAGCTTCACGGCACGATTCTGGGTAAGTCTTCAGAAGGCTATGGGCACTAAGGTGCATTTCTCTACTGCATATCACCCCCAAACTGATGGACAATCAGAGAGGACAATTCAAACGCTGGAAGACCTGCTAAGGGCGTGTGTATTGACGATGGAGGGAGCTTGGGACGAGCATTTACCCCTAATGGAGTTTGCTTACAATAACCAGTATCACAGCTCGATACAAGCAGCTCCATATGAGGTATTGTATGGGAGAAAATGTCGCACACCACTATACTGGGATGAAGAAGGAGTGCGACAACTAGAAGGTCCGGATATGGTACAGAAGGCAGTGGAAAAGGTGGAGGCAATTCGTCGAAATTTGAAGGTGGCCCAGGACCGGCAGAAAAGTAATGCTCAGAGGCCAGGAAACCCACGCAGTCATGAAGTGGGTGATATGGTATTTTTGAGGGTGTCTCCTTGGAAGGGAGTAATGAGATTCGGCAAGAAGGGAAAGCTTAGTCCGAGGTATATCGGGCCATACGAGGTGTTGGAGCGTGTGGGACCCTTAGCATATCGACTAGCTTTACCTCCTAGCCTATCTAGGATTCATGATGTCTTCCATGTAAGCATGCTAAGGGCGTATCGATCTAACCCTGAACATGTGATCAGGCATGAGGACATCCACTTGGAGGACGATTTGACTTACGAGGAAACACCAGTCAAGATCGTGGATAAACAAGAAAAGAAATTGAGAAAAAAGAAGATTGTAATGGTAAAGGTGATATGGCGGAACCAGGGCAATGAGGCTGCGACTTGGGAGACAGAAACTAGCATGAGAGAGAAGTACCCAGAATTGTTTAACGATGCTTAGATTGGTGGTTGATCGGTCCCAATGTATTTTAGCGTTCAGCTCTCAATACGCAATATTTAATAATAGTTCCAGTGATTAAGTTGTGTTCCGCCAAGTACAACAACGCAGTTCATCCAAAATTTCGAGGTCGAAATTTATTTAAGGGGGAGGGAAATGTTACATCCCACTCTATCAATTCTAATCAAATACGATTTACCTTAGTACAAGTGGTGGTTTGTTAGTCCCTACCAAACCGTTTCAATTTCGAGGACGAAATTTTAATAAGGGTGGAGGAAATGTAACAATCTGAATTTCGTTGCTATTTTCTTTCACTAATTACCCTTCTCGTAACATCAATTTTGTTAAATAAATTAACCATCTCTCTGAAGTGTAACAATTTGATCTATCTAGACTACAACCGACGACTCCTACAACTTGATCTAGCTAGTCACAACCTCCATAAATCGGCACCATCTGCCTACAGCTAGCACCACCAACTATTCAATCACTTGGTCCCTACAACAATTACTCTAGATCTGAAATTATGGCAAGATAAGACTCAATCAATTGAATTCCATAAAAGGAAAAGGAAAAGGAAAAGAAAGAAGGGATGCTTCAGTTCCTCTCTTCAAATAAAGCAGCAGTAGGAATAAATCCCCCTCCCCATCCGTCCTTTTTCACTGGCGTACGTCGCCACCACCCCACTTTCTCCGCGACGAACGACCTCATCATCACTTCCTGCCCTACAGCACCAGCCTCCCGCCCGACTCCTTTTCTTCTCGCACAAAGACCCGGCCGGTGGAGAAAAGAAGCTCTCCGGGAGTTTTCCTCGACCAAAGGCAGCAGCATCGGCCACTCGACCGAGAACGCCATCGGGAATTCCCTGTTCGCGTCGATTCCACCAAAACCCACGATCAGGCACTCATCTTTGCACTGCCGTGGGTAAGGCTCTCGATCCCAGTCGAACTCCGAGCTTAGTTTAAACAGCAAATAACCCAACTCATGTATGTATGCTCATAGTTTGACGATAACATCGCGAGGGACTTGAACGGAGTTCGACAAAGGGGAAACGACGTTCCAACCCAACAAATCTAGCTTTAGGCTCGTTCTGGAGGTAAGGAGTTCGACCTCATCGATTAAAGCCGAGTTATGGTTTGATCTATACGTATATACGTTGTTGTCTTTTTTTAGCGACGAATATTGCAGTCTTTTAGTGACAAAATAGGTTCTGTCGCTAAACACTGTTGAGCAATTTTCCAGACCAGTCCCTCAAGTGTTCAGCATAAACAGCTTAGTCCCTCAGAGTTTTGAGTTTTGACAAATTGACACGAAAATTGTATTTTTTTTACAATGATGTTTAGTTCCGATGCTTTCCATATGTATTTACATGATTTAGTAATTTTATAAATTTTTGAAAATTCGTATGATACTTGTATATTAATTTTATAATTTTTGGATCTGTATTTGTATTTATAAAAAATGAACGAATGTTAGGTTTAATTAAATAAAATACTGTTCGAAGTTTATTTTGGGATTTGATAATTTTTCATGAAACTAAGGTTTTGTATTGATGTTATAAAATTATGGATCAGAATTATTAGTGTTCGTGACTGGGTTTAAAAAATTATATATGCTAAATTGTAATAGGAAAATGATGTTATTTAAAGGGTCTTACTAAGTTTGTGTAATGAGTTGAAATACCTAAGGTCAGAATTTAGATTTTTTAAGTGGAAAATATACTTTGAGAAACTTATGAGGATTTTATTATATTTATTTTAAGAGTTATTCTTGATTAAAGGTTGAAAAGTTTAGTTTTGAGGAAATGATTTAAAAGAGATTGAGGGTCATTTTTAAAGGATTTTGGGACTAAGTAACCAATGAGGGAAATTTTCCCAATACGTTAAAGGGACTAAATCTGAGGATTACCGACTAAGGGAAGATTATTTCAGTTTATAGGATTGAGGAAGCGATCGGATTAAGGATTTCACATCCAGGGAACTAAGAATCGTCATTTGAGAGGTGAGTGGTTTAAGGGGGTAAATTCTACGCCTTACGTATTTTCAAGTAGTTGAATTACGAGTTTTAAGTATGTGTGTTTATGTGAATCGTATGCCAGTGATTGATTTTTGTCGTGATTGATAAAGCATGTTTTATTTGAGGTATTATCCGAGATGCTCTATTTGAGTATGATTGTGAAGTATATGATTAGTTGAGCTTTCAGTATTTACTTGAAGCTTTTATATTTATGTTTATTTAATGAAGGTTGTTTGATCTTTAAGGATCAATATTTAAGAAGTATTTCACTACTAATTAAATTAGGGTGAAAAGATTTAAAGATAGTTCACTAACGACAGTCCCCCGCCCCAGTGAAAGTTTAAAGGAAGAGCAAGTTTGCTCTTAAAGAACATGTGGATGAATCACTTAGACATCACATGAAGTTTAAAGGAAGAGTATGATATACTCTTAAGGTTTATGGGGTTGAATAGATTACTCCCATAAAAAGGTTTAAGGAAAGGCCTATGTTGGCCCTCATACGTATGAGCTGGGCGGTTGGACTAGTTAGTGAGGGGATCCCAGTGTCGGTCAAAGGTTTAATATTTTTGAGGGTGGCGAGTAACAACAACTCCCACGTTTTTAAGGGTTTAAAATTTAAAGGGTGGAAGTATGAACAACTTCCACAAGTTTTGAGGTGAACACTTAAGGGAACACCCGTAAGTGATTCAAGTTTAAGTAATGGCGTAGACTGACCCCAACCCACTCACCAGGTCGTAGAGGAGGATCTAGGGAGCATCCAGTCGAGGAGCATCCAGTGAGAGAGCAGGCTACCCGAGGAGGACCACGTGAGCACTTCTGAAGATGTCTGACCACGGATCGGAGTAAGCAACATTTGTAATCTTTAGTTATTTGCTTTATGATTATGAGTAATGACTGGAGATTTAAAAGGATAAGACTTTATGGATTGAGGTTTGCCCAAATGTTAGGGCTTTGCTTTTAAATTATAAGGTGTATTTTCAGTATTGGTATTTCGAGCACATTATCGTTTCTTTCTTTCAAAATTTTAAATATGCTCCGGAGCAAAATTGTTATTTAAGGGTTTTAGAGATCGGGACGTGACATTTAGGGCCGAGCACCTCGATCACCACTGTAACCATGGCATAAATCTCTAAACCCCACCGCCTCAATTCCATGAACGATAATCCTCAATTCCCTTTTAGCCTCGTGATTGGATGAAATAAACCATCATCATTAATATAATTTCATTGCGGAGACTCATACCTCAATCCCATGGTGGTTTTGTCTCTACTGCTTGGCGGTTACGATGCAAAGGAAAAGAAGAAGCAATGGTGGACCAACTTGCTGGGCGGTGATGATGGAAGGCAAAGAATGGCGGCAGTGGAGCTTTGGCCGAGAGCGAGGAGAGCTTCCTGCTTTCCTATGTCGAAGAGGGAATTGAACGGGCTGGGCAAATTTGTCTCCTGCGCCTCTCGGTAATTGCTAGATTTAGGTTTGGGGAAAACCACGTAACTACGTGGGCCGAGAGAGAAGTAGGGTTATGTTAGGTTTAATTTCCTCGGGGTTATCTTGGGAATTTCCTAATAACGGGTGAGTTTAATCCGAAATTCAGTTAACGTCCCAAATTTTCTCACTTCATGTCGAAACTCGACATCGTTTGAACAATTAGTTCACATTTTTAATCCTCATCGGTAATACGGTGGAACTTGACCCAAGGGTATGTTAGTCATTTTGACTTTTGGGAAGAGCGGGGTGTAACATTTCCTCCACCCTTATAAAATTTCGTCCTCGAAATTTGATCGAGCTCATCCTTCTATACTCCCCATTCTCATGCTTCTTTGGCTCAAGATTTCACTCTTTCTATATGAACTTCAATGGCGTGCCCTTACCTTGTCTTGAATATCTTACGATAGTTCTTATATGTAGTCTTGACCATAACATATATTCTCATCTAGCTTGGTAGCATCAAATAGGTTTGAGTGACTCATTGCCCTTTTCAAAATTTTCCAACTTGGGCCGAAAATTTATTTGGTCCAACTGATTCAGTACTTGATTTTGAACCTATCGAAGTCGAGGTATCACATTTCCTCCCCACTTATAGAAATTTCGCCCTCGAAATTTGTCCACTATGATTACCCTAAGCATCGCTTGTGGTAATCCTTTTCACTTCGCGGATACATGTGATTCTATGATTGGTTTAGTCATATAAATACATAAACCGCCTAATTGTGTCATAATAACACAACGTGCACAAGTACAAACTCTTACTATCGAGTCCAAATTGTACAATATGGTGGATTTGCACTACAAATGTCTTGTAATGTTGATAGACATGTGATTCTATGATTGGTTTAGTCATATAAACACATAAGCCGCTTGATTGTGTAATAATGACAAAATATGCACGAGTATGAACTCTTAGTATCGACTCTAAATTGTATAATAATGTGGATTCGCATTCCAAATGTCTTATAATGTGGATAGACATTGGAATCTATGATTGGTTTAGTCATATAAACACATAAAACCGATTAATTGTGTCATAATGACAAAACATGCACGAATACGAACTCTTAGTACCGAATCGAAATTGTACAATAAGGTGGATTTGCACTCCAAATGTATTGTAATGTAGATGGACATGTGATTCAATGAATGGTTTTAAACCGCTTAATTGTGTCATAATGACAAAACGTGCACAAGTACATATTCTTCCTACCGAGTCTAAATTGTACAATAGGGTGGATTTGCACTCCAAATGTCTTGTAATGTTGATACACATGTGATTCATTGATTGGTTTAGTCATATAAACAAATAAACTGCTTAATTGTGTAATAATTACAAAACGTGCACGAGCACGAACTGTTAGTACCTACTCCAAATTGTACAATAAGGTGGATTTGCACTCCAAATATCGTGAATGTAGTTAGACATTTGATTCAATGAATGCTATAGTCATATAAACACCTAAACCACTAGGTTTTGTCATAATGACAAAACGTGCACAAGTATGAACTCTTAGTACAGAGGCCAAATTGTGCAATAAGATGGATTTGCATTCCAAATGTCTTGCAATGTTGATAGACATGTGAATCTATGATTGGTTTAGTCATATAAATAATATAAATCGCTTAATTGTGTCATAATGACAAAACGTGCACGAGTACGTACTCTTAGTACCGACTCTAAATTGTATAATAATGTGGATTTGCACTCCAAATGTCTTGTAATGTTGATAGACATGTGATTAATTGATTGGTTTAGTCATATAAACAAATAAAACGCTTAATTGTGTAATAATTACAAAACGTGCACGAGCACGAACTGTTAGTACCTACTCCAAATTGTACAATAAGGTGGATTTGCACTCTAAATATTGTGTAATGTAGTTAGACATTTGATTCAATGAATGCTATACTCATATAAACACATAAACCACTAGGTTTTGTCATAATGACAAAAGGTGCACGAGTATGAACTCCTAGTACAGAGGCCAAATTGTGCAATAAGATGGATTTGCACTCCAAATGTCTTTAATGTTGATAGAAATGTGATTCTATGATTGATTTAATCATATTTACACATAAACCGCTTAAATGTGTAATAATTACAAGACGTGCACGAGTACAAACTCTTAGTACATAGGACAAATTGTACAATAAGGTGGGTTTGTACTTGGCTTAGTCATGTAAACACATAAATCGCTTAATTGTGTCATAATGACAAAACGTGCACGTGTACATACTCTTAGTACCGACTCTAAATTGTACAATAAGGTTGATTTGCACTCCAAATGTCTTGTAATGTTGATAGACATGTGATTCAATGATTGGTTTAGTTATATAAACACATAAACCGATAAATTGTGTCATAATGACAAAACATGCACAAGTACAAACTCTTCCTACCGAGTCCAAATTGTATAATAAGGTGGATTTGCATTCCAAATGTCTTGTAACGTCGATAGACATGTGATTCATTGATTGGTTTAGTCATATAAACACATAAACCAATTAATTGTGTCATAATTACATGACGTGCACAAGTATGAACTCTTAGTACATAGGTCAAATTTTACAATAAGGTGGGTTTGCACTCCAAATGTCTTGTAATGTTGATAGACATCTGATTCTATGATTGGTTTAGTAATGTAAATACATAAACCGCTTAATTGTGTGATAATGCACTACAAGAGAACTAGTTTCTAGTCACAGGATCTTATTCACAGTATTTTTCCCCGTATTAAGAAGTACACTAACAGTCACATAAAAAGTTATCGTAATTAGTTATACAATTCTAGTCAATTTTCAATTTTTTATAATATTTGCTTTAATTTTTTATAATATTTGCTTTAATTTGTAAAGATAATTTATTTTGGCTCCAAAATTTGTTTTGGCTCCAAAATTTCCCTTAACGCTAAAGTTACTTTGAAACCAAATTTGCTTTAGGCTCAAAAAATTCTATTTCACTTCAAAATTTGGCTCCACAAATTTCCCAACAGCAAAATTTGCCCGCCAATTGTGATGCGATATCGACTAGCGCGATATTTAATTCTCGTGGTCCCAAAATGAAGGTTCGAATTCAACGATTTAAGGATCAACTGGGAGCATTCTTGATGGATAAAATGGAGAATGCATTAAGGATCCGGCCTACAACATTTGTTGGAGCCCAAAACGTCCATCCTTGCTGCCCAAGTCATCCAAATGTGAAAAGGACAAGGAAAGAGATTGCTTAACCACTAAGGAGCTTCCTTATGCATTAAAAACGTGTTTGGAGATTACTTAGCTGCTAAGGAGCTTCCTTTGGTCATAAAAACGAGTTATAGTCCTTATTTAAGTAGTATTATGTTTCCTAGTTAGTTTGGGATTTGTTTTCCTATTCCTTTTAGGTTAGTTTTATGTTTTTGTGACCTCTATAAATAGAGGATATAAGAGCTACGAATTTTGTACCCAAGATTTCAGATATCAATTACATTGAGTGTTTACTCGAGTTCCTTTGTGAACGTTTTTGCTTAATCTCTCTTTTGAGGATTCGGGAGAATTGAGTGGTCTCTTATCAACTAGAGAACGCGTCTAGTTGTGGCGAGCATCGACGATATCAGTTGGCCTCTTCCACGGGTTCGAGATTGTTTGGAAGGTTTCATATACCTTCTGGCCCTTCTCACGAGTTCGGATTTGTTTGATCGATTCCGCAAGTATCTTTACTTTCGTGCTATTCAAGAAAGGCGAAAACCCAAAAAGAGTTCGACGTTGTGCAATTCTGATTTTTGGTCCAACTTCGAGGGTCTCTTTGAATTAGGATCATATCAAATTGGCCCTCCCAATTCTAGTTAGTTGTTCCACGAAAATTGAAACATTCATTTCTTTCCCCTCTCTTACCCATACTCTTCCACTCTCTCCCTATAGTTGTTCTTCTTCTCTAGAGGAATTGAGGCTGGAGCCAAACCTTTCTTAGCCCCCCTGAAACTCTACCTTAGCCGCCCAAAATCCACCAATTTATTCATAATCAAAACCCTGGGATCTCGTTCATTTTCCCTCTTCTCTTCATCCACTCTTCCCCTGCCAATCTTTGATATTCGTTCATCAGACTACACGTCTGATAAGGGAATTGGAAAATCGGGTTAGCCGCTCCACTCCAAGCAATCAACCGGGAATGACACTGGAGGAGAATCGATTTAAGGGTCCAAGTTTTCTTGCGAGAACTTTGTCAAGAAGCAGAAGCAGAACGACCACAAATTCTTTCCATGACCAATGTTGGGCTAGGGAAAACATATCTGAGTTCTTCATCTGCACTGCCTAAATCGAGTGGCTGGATATCAAGCACGTGGTACTCAAGTAGGTCATGAAGTCCTTAGGCATAGTCAAAGGCGATCCGGAAGGTCAGATATGGATCTGGGAGGACTTTCAAGCCCGTCTACATTGCCGAGTGCGGCCAGCTCTAGGTGTTAATAGGGTGGTTTTTCCCATTCCATTGATATTATTCTTCAATCAGTGACGACATGGTGGTTTTGATGTCTCTTTCTTCTATGTTTATTTTCTGTTTTCATTGTTTTGGTGAGTTAGGGTTTCAGGTGTCTCTTTAGGTGTTGGGTATGTGATGAGTTCATTACCACTAACTGTTTTGAGGTTTATCGATTCTGCATAGGCTAGAATCTAGAAGGCTGGTGGTGAATGCCTTGCCATTTGATCTGCCTACTTTGAGCCCAGAACACGGTATGATGCTTCCGCACCAGAACACGGTGTGATGCTCCCATCTTTCTCCCTTCCTTTTATGGTTTGATTAGCTTCCTCCCGAAATTCATTGGTGTTGCTTGTTGCATTGAACGAATAGTTAGCTAGGGATCTCTGTTTATGATATGTGTTTATAGATTGATGGTTAAAATTTAGAGTAGTTCTCAGGGGTCGTAAAAATGATAGTGAAGCACTTTTCCAAGCTCCTAGTATGCCACACTACCACTCTAAACCCTATACTAGGTTGAAGGGAAGGAAGTTCTAGATATCTATGTGGAGGAGGAACAACAGGAGACATTGGGTTTAAGTTGTTGGGTTTGCATAGTTGATGATGTACTAAAGAGGATTGGTGCATAGAGTTTACTTGGGATTTGTTGTTTATCATCAAAGACTAGTTAAATATGTTCCTTCTCAGTTCTGATTATATTTTGTCTGCATGCCTCAAGCTCTTAAGTGTGTCTTGAAAGTTTGTTGTTAACACATATTGCGGGCTTTTAGTTTTGGCCCTAGCAAGTTCCCTTAGTGTATATGTGAAAATCTGATTCCTACCTCATATTCATCCAAAATGAAGTTAGTAGTATTTGTGTTCTATCCTGTGTTAAAGTTTGTTGTTAGTGCAGATTGGTTGCTTAAGACTTGCCCCTTCAACCTTCTTTCTCCCAATATACTGCTTTCTTCAATTTGTGAAGACTTATATTGAGAAAGAGGATGGTAAGAAGTTGAAGCAGAAGAAACGAGAGAGCTTACATCATTTATCAGATTTCATTAACTGGCACTGGCATGTTGTTTTTGTTCTCGTGTCATTTCTTCTTTGTACTTATTGTGTGAGAACCACGCTTCTAGGGATTCTCGATACTGATCTTCGGCACTCGTGATAATTAGGGATTTAGGGTTTGAGAGAAAGAATTAGGGATTTAGATGAGAAAGAATAGAATTGGGAATCGGCCTAAGCCTTGGATTGGTTGAGACGAGAAATTAGGAGTTGAGAGGATAACTAGGGTTTAAGAGACTTTGCTTAATATTCTTCTTGATTGATTATGACGTAAACCCAAAGTACATATATATAGGAAATACTGGAAAACCCTAACGAATAACCTAATTGGACTAAATCTCTACTAACCATAATTATCATTATCCTACTTAATATAATAATAGAAACCATATATAATTGTGTTTCTGACAATCCATCCCCCTTGAGAACAACCTTGACCTCAAGGTTGTAGTTGACTTCTACCTCCTTGACCTTCCGCTTTCTTCGTTTCCAATTGCGCTCGATCCCTTGAATGAACTCTTCTCGCGCAACTCCCACTTCCCTTGTCTCTTCTCCACCCACATGACTCTTGTCACGTTCTCCATAGCTGAACAATTTCTCGCTTTCAAAGTCCACGAAATATGAGTCGGAGAAATGTTCTTCATTATGCTTCTTCAATTCTTCCATGGACCTGGTGGTGAAGACAAACTCAAGCTTTCCCCATTCCTCTCTTTCTTCACTTTTGGGTCGGCCCACATGAATTTGGAAGAAAGAATTATTGCCCAAGCCAATTTGAAGCTCTTGTGCACTCCTCCTCATTTTAATTTTGTTTGGGCTTATCTCTTCTAGAGACCCACTTGTTAAGCCCATCAGACACTCTTCCTCCTTTAAGTTATTTCCCTGCAAAACATATCTAAATAAATGGTCCATTGGTGGACTCGGCCAGCTCAGGATATGCCCATGGAGCTCATTATCACTTCTCAGCCCAATAGTTGACCAATCAGAAGAGAGAGCCCAACCAGTTTGGCCCAGCAACGATCCTTCATTTCGGCCCGATGACAAATAGTCCAGCGGTTGGTGTGTGTCGCGGCCCAACGTGAGTGGCCTAGGGTTAGTGCGACGCAGAGGGGCGCCGCCCTCCTTCTCTTCGTTCGGCTCGCCCTCCAGCAGCGGCGCCTCCTTTGTCATCTCCTCCACCGGCGGCGGCTTAGGGTTGGAGAGAAGAGTGATACCGCCGCCGCCTCTCACCGGTAGATCCTCCTCTTCGCTCCTCATCGACGACCCAAGGAAGGCGGCAGCAGCGACATTCCCGCTGCACTCCTGCCTCCTCTCAATCGCCGGCCTCGCGTCTCCCTCTCGACGGCGAGGCGCCCGGCCCGAGGTTGCTGGAAGAGCCAAACCGCCGCCCCCAATCTTCCTTATCTCATCCGGCGGCGATTTCTTCTCCATCGTCTTCTCCTTCATTACCTTCCCCGGCGGCGCGCGATTCCTCCGACGGCCAGAAGGCCAGTCCGAATCCACCGCCGACTTCTGCTTCTTCTCGCCCTTCGATGGCGACTCAACCTCTGGCGGCTTCTCCTTCTTCATGAATCCTGCTGTTGACGCCACGAGGAGAGCCGCCGTCGAACCTTTCTCTGTCTCCACGTCGATCATCTTCTTCTTCTTTCTTCCATTCTCCGTCGTCGCCTGCCGGATTGAGAAGAGGGAAATGTCGCCGCCTTCCTCCTTCGTCGGCGCCAAGAAATCCACCCGGTGGGTGGTCGGCGATCTCGATGTCGTGACAGTCGCCTTCTCTTTCCTCCTGTCACGCGTCCTTGGTGGTTTCTTCTCCTTGTTGGTCGACGATTCGCAGGAGGAAGAGGAAACTTCGTCGATCCTCAGCTTCCTCCGAAATCTCCAGGTCGCCACCCGACTTGGCGTTGCTCTTCTCCCTGGAATTTCATCTTTGGGTTCTTTCTCAAAGACAAACGTCTTTTCTTTGCTTGGAACATCAGCAGGGACGACTAATGGCGGTGTTGGAGTTCCTTTCAAAGCCAGCTGCTCCTTGTCCTCTGCCGATTTGGATAGCAACATCGTTGTTGCAGCTGCGGCCTTCGAGAAGATGGGTGGAGGAATATCAGCAGTTGCAGTTTCCTTCATCGGCTGCTCGCTCGTGATTACCAAAAGTTGCGGCGGGTCAAAGATGGTGGTGGATGCTGCCGTGATTGGCGGCGAGAACTCCGTCGGATCCGATTCCTCCTCATCAACGACTTCTTTCTCGTCTGCCACCACATCGTCGTCTTTGTTGTCGTCCAACCAGTCATCCTCCTCGTCGTTCCAATCGCACGACGCTAGCTGTGCCAACAATTGTCTTATTTCCGCGAATCGCCTTCGATCAGCTTCCTTCCATTCTTGTAAACTCGACATGATTCTGACGTGGGTGCCTGTAACCAGGCTCTGATACCAATTGTGAGAACCACGCTTCTAGGGATTCTCGATACTGATCTTCGGCACTCGTGATAATTAGGGATTTAGGGTTTGAGAGAAAGAATTAGGGATTTAGATGAGAAAGAATAGAATTGGGAATCGGCCTAAGCCTTGGATTGGTTGAGACGAGAAATTAGGAGTTGAGAGGATAACTAGGGTTTAAGAGACTTTGCTTAATATTCTTCTTGATTGATTATGACGTAAACCCAAAGTACATATATATAGGAAATACTGGAAAACCCTAACGAATAACCTAATTGGACTAAATCTCTACTAACCATAATTATCATTATCCTACTTAATATAATAATAGAAACCATATATAATTGTGTTTCTGACATATTGCTACTCTGTTCCAATGACTTCTTTTGCCATTCTCCATGATTCCTTTTTGAAATTCCAAACAATGCCAAAAGTAACAAGTCACAGTGACTTATTCTGCGAAGGGAAGGAATTTAAGGTACAAATTCTGCATTTCCTTGGTTATCATGTTCATTACTGCTTCAGCCGCAGTTCTTCATATTTTTGCTCTTTATTTCTCCAAATTCAGCACCAAATGCACCAATCCCTCCATAAGCTAGCTATAGTTATTATCCTGCTGGTAGGGCCAAACATCCAGTTGGGGAAGATCCCACGGTGTGTTTGATGCTAGTAGAATTGTAATATACAAACTGGATAGCTTGAATTGGTGATTTGGAATTAGTTAGCCTTTTGAGCTTAAGTTTTTTTTTCTAGAAGTTTAAGGATATGTTCCATGTGTTTGATTTTGTTTTCTGGTGCTTTATCCTTGAGCATTACTTTGCAATTAAGCCTCTCTTTGTTAATGAGTTATTCAATTATGTTCTTTATAGCATGTTACAATGTATTCGTGCTAAAATTTCTTTTTGTCGTGTGCTGCAAGTTCTTACAAAAGCAGCTTATGGGAAACTGAATAGCAAATGACTTGTTTCATGTAGAAAAATGAAGTAATCTTTCAAAGACAAAGCACACTACTGGGTTGCATAATGTGGAACTTGCTCAAAGTACGTTCTCCTTTCTTCTCTAGCTTTTGTGCTTCTTTGATTGGTTGGTTCCAATTGATTTGTGCTTCTTTGATAATGTCCCTCTATTTCCATGGTAAAAAACCTTCTACCATGATCAGTGACTCTCCCATGCTCCCATGATTAGTAACCTCTTTACCCTGATCTCGCTCCTTATCGTTCTATCTATGCTTTTGTATTGCACCTGTTAATAGATGATTATGTGTTTGATTTTTGGCAGAGAAGATGAAGTAGCTTGTAAGGGCAATTGACATGTCATTGAACAAAGAGGAAGAAGAATTTGAAAGTGGATGAGTAGAGAAGATATATAGTTGTGTACAAAGATTAATACTTGGTTAGTGATGGGTTTGCTTTTTCCGGGTTAACGAATTCCTGTAAAAGTTTGAAAGGACATAATTTGTAATGACCTTTTGACTTTTGTTTTGGATATTAAGGTACCTGATTTGTAATTACTTTTGATTGAGGCTATTAAGGTACATCATTTGACAAGTTCTTTATTGTCATTTCATTAGTTAGACTCTCAATACGTCAAGTTCCAACATGGAGAAATGACAAGAAAAACACTTGGTGTAATTAATTAGGGAAATTCTTTAGTGGTTATGTATCATGGGAGTTACCGTGATTAATGTAAAATACCGTGACCGAATTTCAGTATCTAGGTACGGGAAAATCAAGCAAATACAGTGACTGATGATTGACATTTAGTCACAGGAAACTATTTAGTCACGGTAGATAAAATGTTAAAAGGCATACATCCCTTCTCTAAACAAAAAAAAAATTCGATTTTGTGTGGCAAGATTTGATAATAGTCACAGGGCTCACCGTGATTAATAGGTACAAATTATTACGGGAAATGATACCTGACTAGATATAACTAGTCACGGTACAAATATACCGTGACCTTTACAATTAGACACGGAGGTATTTATTACGGTAATTTTCCCGTGACTAATACTATCAAACACGGGAAACACACTTTCAAACACAGGATTCCACGTGATTAAATGACCTTTTTCCTGTAGTGATGAGAAAACAAGCACAAGTACAAACACTTACTACCGAGTCCAAATTGTACAATAAGGTTGATTTACACTCCAAATATCTTGTAATGATGATAGACATGTGATTCATTGATTGGTTTAGTCATATAAACAAATAAACCGCTTAATTGTGTCATAACGACAAAACGTGCACAAGTACAAACTCTTTTTACCGGGTCCAAATTGTACAATAAGATGGATTTGCACTCCAAATGTCTTGTAATGTTGATAAACATGTGATTCTATGATTGGTTTAGTCATATAAACACATAAACCGCTTAATTGTGTAATAATGACAAAATGAGCAAGAGTACGAACTCTTAGTACCGACTCAAAATTGTACAATAATGTGGATTTGCATTCCAAATGTCTTTTAATGTTGATAGACATTTCAATCTATGATTGGTTTAGTCATATAAACACATAAAACTGCTTAACTGTGTCATAATGCCAAAACATGCACGAGTACGAACTCTTAGTACCGACTCGAAATTGTACAATAAGGTGGATTTGCACTCCAAATGTCTTGTAATGGAGATGGACATGTGATTCAATGAATGGGTTAGTCATATAAACACATAAAACACTTAATTGTATCATAATTACATGACGTGCACGAGTACAAACTCTTACTACCGAGTCCAAATTGTACAGTCGGGTGGATTTGCACTCCAAATGTCTTGTAATGTTGATAGACCTGTGATTCTATGATTGGTTTAGTAATATAAACACATAAACCGCTTAATTGTGTCATAATGACCAAACGTGCACAAGTACAAACACTTACTACCGAGTCCAAATTGTACAATAAGGTGGATTTACACATCCAAATGTCTTGTAACGATGATAGACATGTGATTCATTGATTGGTTTATCATATAAACAAATAAACCGCTTAATTGTGTCATAATTACAAAACGTGAATGAGTACAAACTCTTACTACCGAGTCCAAATTGTACAGTCGGGTGGATTTGCACTCCAAATGTCTTGTAACGTTGATAGACATGTGATTCATGGATTCGTTAAGTCATATAAAGACATAAACCGCTTAATTATGTCATAATTACAAGACGTGCACGAGTACGAACTCTTAGTACATAGGCCAAATTGTACAATAAGGTGTGTTTTCACTCCAAATGAATTGTAATATTGATAGACCTGTGATACTATGACTGGTTTAGTAATATAAACACATAAACCGCTTAATTGTGTCATAATGACAAAACATGCACAAATACAAACACTTACTACCGAGTCTAAATTGTACAATAAGGTGGATTTGCACTCAAAATGTCTTATAACTTTGATAGACATGTGATTCATTTATTGGTTTAGTCATATAAACACATAAACTGCTTAATTGTGTCTTAATTAGAAATGCTCCAAATTCCACTTGAGCATCTAAATCTGGATTGATACCAGCAAAAACGTCTCTGAACAGGGTCCTAGCACCATGCCAGTTTCAATATTCCACTTAAGACGCAAGGGTTTAGTCATATAAACACTCAAAATGTCATATAAACACATATCAAATTCTTGATCCAGATTTAGATGCTCAAGTGACTAGGGAAAATGGAAGCTCCAAAGTGGAAAGCAGCTTCCCTTTCGAGCAAGAATCATCCATGGCGATCAAAGAATATCAATGCAGAAGAAAAAGAACAATCATAGAAAATACATACTAAGCTAACTCTTAGCTAGCAATGCAAAGTCAAGGAAGAGCATCTATTCTTTTATAGGGACAGTGGGTAGCTCTAAAGCACATCAAAGGAAAAACCAGAACAACCAGAGAGAATAAAGATTGCTCCATCACTACTCCATGGAAAAAACAACCTAAAAGAAAGGCATAGAATAGCATAGAACCCATCTAAATTAACGGCTGATAGGGGAAACCCATTACACTTACTAAAATATAGAAGTTGAGAAATGCTTCAGCAGCAGCAGGGAGTGAGCAAGAGAAGAGCTTTCTCTTTGGGAGCTGATAAAAATGAAAACTTTATTTATTATATATTTCGAGGAGGGAAAGAAGGAGCCGGGTGCAAGTGGGAGTGGGAGTGTGACAGAGAAGAGTAGGGTTGAGAATTGAAAAGAATTGGGAAGAAGAGTTAGGGATTTGAGAGAATTGGGGAAGAACAGAGAAAAGAGAGAATTAGAGATTCTGATATTATTCTTGCTTAATCCCAAATGAACATACTCAATCCTCTTTTATGAGTTTCAGCAACTAATAGGAAAATAACAAAAATGCCACTCCAACCCGACCAACACGGCCGAACCCACCCCACCCTACTCGCCGAGCGGGTTTCCATCATCCCCTTCCCCATCAGAAATGACCTTGTCCTCAAGGTCAAATGTCGGAAATCATTGTCGTATCGCGGCCGTCTCCTCCCAAGTGGCATCCTCCCTCGCCATATGCTGCCACAAAATCAATTTCTCCTCCGTAAGGCGTCCGCCTTTCTTCACCCATCTGGTATCAAGGACCTGCAAGGGAATGAGCTCAAGATCCCCATCTGCCGACACCGGAGGGGCGGTGGTCTCCACCCAGTCTGCTGCCCCCCTGTAGCGCTTTAGTAATGACACGTGGAAAGTGGGGTGGATATGAGCATCAGCTGGCAGCTGCAGACGATACTCTACCGGGTTAATCTTTTGCAGTACTTCATAGGGTCCAAAGTAACGAGCGGTCAGCTTCTGGTAAGCACGGCGAAAGACGGAAGCCTGCCTGTATGGGTGAAGACGAAGCAGAACCCAGTCTCCCACCTCAAATTCTTCCTCACGTCGCGCTGCATCGGCCAACTGCTTCATCTTATTGTTGGCGGCTTCCAGGTTGGCCTTGAGCTGCTCCAAGGCCTCGTCTCGTGTCTCTAACCATCGATCCACCGCATCCACCTAGCTGGTACCACTCTGGTAGCGTACTAGAGAGGGTGGTGGTCGCCCATAAAGGGCCTCAAATGGTGTAGTCTGGATCGCCCTATGGTAGGTGGAGTTATACCATAGCTCGACCCAAGGTAGGAGAGCCAACCACCGCCTCGGCTGCTGATGGGCAAAGCAGCGCAGGTACTGCTCCAGGTAACGGTTAACCACCTCAGTCTGGCAATCTGTCTGTGGATGATAGGCGGAACTCATCCGCAGGGTGGTCTGCGTCATAGTAAACACCTCCTGCCAAAAACGGCTCAAGAAAACGGAGTCCCGGTCACTAACAATAGACCTCGGAAACCCGTGATGTCGAACGACCCCCAACACAAACTGCTCTGCCACTGCCCGGGCCGTGTATGGGTACGCCAGGGCCATGAAATGGGCATACTTCGTCAGTCGATCAACGACGACGAACATGACCGTCTTTCCTCCGGAGGGTGGAAGGCCGACGATGAAGTCCATACTGATGTCCTCCCACACGCGCTCAGGTACTGGCAAGGGCTGCAAGAGACCTGCGGGTCTCAGATGAGAAGCCTTGACCCGCTAACAAGTATCGCACGACGCTACATAGTCCTTCACGTCCTAGATCATCTGGGGCCAATAGAACTGGGCCCGGATCCTCCTCAACGTCCGCTCGACCCCTGAGTGCCCACCGAATGGGGAGTCATGATACTCCTGCATCACAGTCGTCACCAGTGAAGATCCCCACGGAAGAACAATGCGCCCACGAAAGTATACTAGCCTCTGTTTGAAAGAATAATGGCCTGGAGCCTCACTGACCGCTATATCCCGACAACCCTCAGGTAGGTATCGGTATCGGTGAGAGCCCGTAACGCGTCCCAGAACTGGGAACCGATCCCGTCACTGCTACTAGTACCTCGCCCCCCGAGCGCCGCGAGAGCCCATCGGCCACGACGTTGGAGGGCCCTGGTCGATAATGAATCTCATAATCATACCCAAGGAGCTTCGAGACCCATTTGTGCTGGTCGGGAGTGGAAACTCGCTGCTCCAAGAGATTCCGCAGACTCTGGTGATCGGTGTAAATGTGGAACTTCTGTCCCAGAAGGTACGGCCTCCACATCTGCACTGTTGTGATAATAGACCAAGCCTCCTTGGATGGAGCCAAGGTCTTACTCATATAGACCACCGGGTGACGATCCTGAGATAGAACCGCCCCAATACCCCGGCCCGAGGCATCGGCCTCAATCACAAAGGTCCGGGAAAAATCCGACATGGCTAGGGTCGGGGTGGTCGTCATGGCCTGCTTAAGCTGCTGAAATGCCCTGTCTACTTCCGGTGTCCATGCAAACCCGCCCTTCTTCAACAGGTTAGTCAAGGGTCGGGCGATCATACTGTATCCCTGCACAAACTTCCGGTAATAACCGGTCAAACCCAGGAATGCCCTCAGCTGTGAGACAGTAGTCGGAGTTGGCCACTCGACCATAGCCTGAATCTATGATTGATCCACCTGGACCCCCTGTGGAGTGACAATGTGGCCCAAGTACTCCACCTTC